GGGGGGGGGGGGGTGTATTCATAGTCGTGCATGCCGTAGTCGTCTGACCATTGACCTCGCATCCCTACAAAGCCGGGACGGAGCACGCCGGGTTCTCACCGGACCAGGCTCTCACATCACCAAGCGCGAAGCGCCGTGAGGTATTCGGCGAGTCGCATGAAGGGTGCGCTGCATCCTGCTAAGGGTGTTCGGCATCTTGTGCTTCCTTCCTTGCGTACGGATGACAAGCTGCGTATGACTAAACTTATTTTCTGGTGCTTTCACTTCCAAAGACAGTTATAAGCACTGTGTAACTGCCTCGAGGATGCTTGACCATATCAACACAACGTGGTGCGATCATCCCCCTTGCGCGGAGTGAGGGTTCTCGACCCCGCACAACATGATCTACTCGACCACCATTATGGTTACCGCCAAAAAAACAACCAGAGGTACAAAAAAAAACGATATTATGCATACCCTCCCCCCGCCCCGCTCCGAGCCCTCTGCAACTGCTTTCCCAGCGGCTCCGCTCCTGGTTCTTGTCCGCGCCCAAGGCCGCGCCATACAACGACGGCTGCAAATCAGTCATGCCCATCTAGCACAGTTCTGACCATCCGCAAGTACACTATCCTGACCTTCCCTCCATGTCCGTACGTTTAGCTGTCACCGGATGGGAGGGGTGCTGGAGTGCAAAAGGAACGAGAAGAAATTAATTTGTGCGCGTGGCGCGTCTTTCAATCGAGCCTGCTGCTGCTGTGTGTGATATGTAGTAATACGAGACAAAACTAACTGTCGCCGCCGATGATCTCTTACGACAGTTTCCACACACAGCAACTAACAACTAAACTGCCGGTGGCGGAAACTTCTGCTGCTGATGATGTATGCATGTATACGTATCTGTTGTCTATCCACTACTTACTTTCTCTCCGTACTTGTTCGTACCGTCTACATACATGTAACCCCAGCTGTAGGTAGTCTATGTTGTTGGTCAGTCATCGTATCATGCCATTCTTTCATGAAAACATTTATTTCCTCATTATCTCTCGTTGAAAACGCGTAGACAGACGGCCTACACCAAATAGCTCAATATTGTTCAACTTTCACCGGGTGGGTGTGTCTTGGTGTTGCAACACAACAGTCAAGCTCCAAAACATGTCGAAAGAGAGCAGAAGAAGCTTGAGCGGTCCCGTGCTAATTGCTTAGTTCGACGTTTGAAGTTTTACGACTCTTGAGGTCCATGTAATGTAGCAATGAAAACCGAACAAAGATTAGCGCCCGAAAAAATGGGGGGGGGGGTTGTATCAATTCATAATTCGGCTCCGCGAGCCGTCTTGTTTCATACCGTAACTCTTTCGGATGGTACACAAGCGGTACATTGCTAGCCGCTAGTTCAACTGGCGCATCATGATATTTCAGATATCTACATGGTACAGCAGACGTGGAGTGCGGCGGCGAGGAGTGCGCGGCGGATAGACACTGATTACCGCTCAAATTCCAACGATCAACGGCCACAACTTGCGACACACCCAATCAATGCGTGCTCTGCCCAGTGCCAGGTACAGCTGGGGTGAACAGGCGGGGTACTCTCCCTGCATAGCGTGGTGTGTGTTGATCGTAGACGGTGCCCTATTCGCGTGTTTTCGTGCATTTATCTCAACTGCGTGGTATGCTCGACAGAGCGTTAAAGTCGATCGTTTCTTTGCCGTTGAGCGGTTGAAGGCGAAGAATACATGGTTTGGGAGATACGCATACATACGAAAAAGCCACCAACGGATAAACATTTTAAGGTCTGTGGTATTAGCGAGACGTTGTCCTCGTGTCAATCGTCGATATATCGTCTCCGAAGCCGATCACCGGCCGCGTGGAGTCGCACAACCCTCGCAGGGTCTTCGACACGACATCACATCGACTACTGTCCTGGTAAATCTGCTGGGATGCTTCGTAGCAGTCTCTTTTTCGGAGTACCTCGCGGCATTGTTTTGAACCAACGCAGCTGGAGAGTAGTTTTCCGAAGCAAGCTGTGAGGCTAGGAAGCAGCACCGTCGTATCCGGCACGCCCCGACAGCAGCAGTAACACTCACGTATCGACAGGGCCAGGCTGCCACCACCACTCCTTCCTCCTTCCCCGCGACGGAGGCACGACTCCTCGCGCATCCCGCTGTCGGTGAAGCGGAAGGGCCACCGGGCGTCCTTCATCAAACTCGCCACCAACCCGCACATACACCGGGTTGCCCTGCGGCATGGGACCACTCGACTTGTACGCGGGTCCAATCTATTTCAGTGCTGAAACTCGACACTGCCGGTGTAGCGAATCGAGGACTTCCGGTGTACTACTGTACGTCGAAGTACATGCGTCGTAGGTCGTAAAAGGTAAAAGGCGAATCCGGAGCAAGCACCTGATCACCACATGGAGCGCCCAGAGGGCACAGCTTCTCAGTAGTGCTGACGACTTGGTCGAAAGCAATGGTTGACACGAAAGTTGGAAGATTCTTTGAAATTGCGGTGGGTGCTGGGTGATCCTGGATTATTCTGGGAAATAGAAAGCTGTTCTGGTTCTCCGTGTGCCCGGGGTGTCAACAGAAGACCAGGCACGAGCGCAGTAGTGCTGACGACTTGGTCGAAAGCAATGGTTGACACGAAAGTTGGAAGATTCTTTGAAATTGCGGTGGGTGCTGGGTGATCCTGGATTATTCTGGGAAATAGAAAGCTGTTCTGGTTCTCCGTGTGCCCGGGGTGTCAGACGACTTGGTCGAAAGCAATGGTTGACACGAAAGTTGGAAGATTCTTTGAAATTGCGGTGGGTGCTGGGTGATCCTGGATTATTCTGGGAAATAGAAAGCTGTTCTGGTTCTCCGTGTGCCCGGGGTGTCAACAGAAGACCAGGCACGATCGAGCAGCGGCATGCAGCGGTTGGCTGTTGGCTGCTGGAGGTGTAGGTTCAGCTTTGGTGGTTCGCGAAAGCGGCAGCTCTTTTGGTTCGCGCAAACGCAGAGCACAGAGCTGAATGAAGCAGAGAGCGGAAAGCTTTGGTGCTTCACCTGTAGACTCGACTACTACAGCACGGTACTGCTGTAGCACGCTGTGCCAACAGAAAAGCGCCCTGGCGTAGGACCCCAACAGCAGCAGCAAAACAAGTCAGAGTTGCAGCAGTACATAGCTGCATCTCCTCTCTCGGCTCTCCCATGTCTACAAGGGCGGCTGATGTCGATCTGGAGGATCATGAAGAGGACGAGGCAGACCCCGAGCGTGGAACGACTGGGAGATCAAACAATGTGAGTGTGCTGTGCTGTAGGCGTTGTTGGCATGTACTGCTAGTCTATGCATGTGTGCGCAGTCCATGTTTTCGGGCTGCAAGATACCGGATCCGCACCCCGCTGCTGTACTACTGCTGTACTGCTGTACTGCTGTGGTCTCGGTCTATCCGGGGGGCACTGCTTTATCTGGTCATCTGAGACAAGCCCGTACTCGAGCTGCCGTACTCAGCGCGCCATGATGTCACAAAAATGATGAAATTGAGGAACCCCACCCAACCGCGCACTCTTTACGCCGCGCGAGATACAGAAACAACACAGGGAAAGAGAGCACACACAGCAAATCGACGAGCACTATTGTAAGAAGTCTACAGCGGTAGATTGGTGATTAAAGCGTGTACTCATTTGGGTCAGGGTTCTACACCTGGATACAAGATTCTCCACAAAAGATTCGTATGTATCATATGTAGCCGTCAATCATCCCTAGAAACGATTCATGTGTAGCCGGAGGTATACATTAAGAGTAACCTGCAGGCAACGACACGGGTGGGGCAACGATTTGGGTGTTACAGTATTCCATCATTGTACGTACTTGGTTAATCTATAGCTGGCTGCAGAGGGTGTTACCCACTCCCACCTCACACACCGACTCAGGACCTGCTCTGTCAATTGCTACTGCACACCCTTGAAAAAAAGCCAAAGCGTGTTCGTCCCAAGACGTCATAAGCAGGTTTCGTTTAGGCCCAAGCATCCATCGTCCATGTCTTCAAAAAAAAAAAAAACTTGCTTCTAATATATCTTTCCGTCCAGCCACGATAATATCACGATCTGCCCTCTGATTTTTTCACACCTTCTGTAGGCCGTGCATTGGGGCACCGAGACGGGCGGATCGTCTAGTGTAAGAAGATCCTGGAGCAGCTTACCGCCGCCCATCTCGGCCAGCCAAAATCTATCTCAACGGCTTTCTGCGCACCGGCACCGAGATGAACAATCGGGGACGATAGACGGGATTAGTTCAGGAGGGATGGGTCTCATTGCATCCGCTGGGTACGCAGCCTCGCGGAGGGGAGGAGCGGGTAGTTGGGGCGTTCCCCGTGGTGGGGTGGCTGGTGTTAGCGCTAATGGCGTGGCGACGGCACCTGTGGAATCGACAAGGCGGGGGACGGCAGCTGTTGAGAGAGAACTCCAAAGGCCAGGCGGGAGCCGGATGCACCCCGCGCCAAGGTCGCCGCTCACGATTTGTGCCGGTGGTTTTTCTTCCAGTGGTGGTCATGTGCCGCGAAGGCTTGGGCCAGGCGCGCCAAGGTCCCCGCTTATGGTTTCTGCCGGTGGTTTTTCTTCCAGTGGTGGTCATGTGCCGCGAAGGCTTGGGCCAGGCGCACCAAGGTCCCCGCTCATGGTTTCTGCCGGCGGCTTTTCTTCCAGTGGTGGTCATGTGCCGCGAAGGCTTGGGCCAGGCGCACCAAGGTCCCCGCTCATGGTTTCTGCCGGCGGCTTTTCTTCCAGTGGTGGTCATGTGCCGCGAAGGCTTGTCATGGATGGGCGGGGCGTGGGGCGTGTCGTGGATGGGCTTAAGGCGACGCCTCGGACGGCTGCCGCTTCCATCACCGGTTCTTGCGGGGACATCATGCAGCCGGATAGACGTCACGGCCTCGAAACTGTGGTTCCGGACGACCGGAGAAATGTCGGGGTTGCCGAGAGAGTGGGAGAAACTAGAGCAGCACCCCAAGAATTCGTGCCATCCCTGGAGACACAGAAACACCGTCGGACTTCCCCCCCCCCGGGTACATCTGTGAGCACGTCGACGGGGGGGAGACGGAAAGGGGGGCTAACGCAAAAAGCGAACACCTGCCATGGGTGTAGGCGCAAGATGCCGCCGCATGGGCTGGTAAAGGATTGCGTCGGCATAGATACGGAGGTATGCCATTACTGGCTGTGCCCGAAGTGTTTCTCGCACTATGAGGAGGCCGCTGAAAGAGAGGCCACTGGAAGAAAGGAGTTCTCCTGCTGCATACATGGCGGATTGGAGCTCTGCGTTTGTCCACGGTGAACAGAGTAGGGTTCTTGCTTAGATTTCGTTCTACGTAACATGTGATCAGGTTCCAAAATTGTAGGTGGCTTGTATGCAACCCCGGGGCCTTCACCTCGGATCAACTTCTCTGAATTTGTCTACCGAAAATAAATAATCCCAGTATTTGACTCAGCTAGGTGTAGTTACTGTAGGTGTAGCTGCGCCAATCTACGCACCTGAGCTATGCGGGCATGAGAGGGTGTGTGTGTGCTATTGACCACGAGCTCTTTACCACGACAGTTTAGGAGCATGCAATGACCCTGGAAGAGCATGCCATGCATCAGTACATAGTTCGAAGTAGTTCGCGGGGCTAGGGCATGCTGGTGTGCATTGCAAACTTGTGTGTGCTGACCAATGTGTTTTGGCATAAACCCCGTTCCTATTTGATCACTGCCGCCGCCCACAGCAACAAACGGAACCGAAGGACAGGGCCACAAGGGACGCTGCAGCGTTCAGCGCAAGCCAAGAATCGTGCTGTCCCGACCACCATTTTTCAACTTCCTACGCCGACGAGCTCGGCCCCCACGACAGCAACGACAGCTCCCTCCTCCACGCCAGGTTCAGCAACGGGGGGGGGGCGCCCCAGCTAGGAGTGTCGGTTCCTCTACGACGTTCTCGGTATGCACGGCGCTGAACCAACTCCGCGTGTCAGTCGTCAAGGCTAACAATGTCTTCATGTGCTCTCGGGGCGAGTGCAGAAAGTGAGCACTATGAAGTGTGTTGTACGAGTTGGGAGGAAACCGCGTAGGTGCTCAGAGTTTCGCAGTCGTGCCCTTTCTGCGCAGAAGAGGGGGTCGTGCATGCTATCGCCTTGTCCGCGTGGAACCAGTGTTGTGGATTGTGGTTCACTGTTGTTTCAACGGCTTTCGATTGCGTTTGTTTGCGCTGATTGCCAAACGTGCTTACATGCTGACGCACCACGCCCGACGAAAATACGCTCAGGGTCGAGCAACTCCGTGCAGCAGCTGGGCGTCAGGGCGACACGAACTCTGCACTCGCCGATCGTTGCCAACATGCGGACGTTGTGCGCAAGGCAGAGGTTTCATCCCAATCGATACCAACAGCCACTGCATGCTTGAATGGAGATGGAGAATTCGAAAATGCTTTGGCCAGTGTGCCACCGGGGACATTCAACGAGAAAATGGTGCGGGCCATGCAACAGCGCTATGCCAGGGCGAAAGAGGAAGGAGTTCCGGTGCTTGTGCGCCTCGCGGAGACAGCGTGGTTTGCCGTCAGAGACGGCGTGACGTTCCAGCGTAATGTGATCGGGGGGTGGGGTCATGTGAAGACGAGGAGCGACACAACCGACGGGAGCGGTCACATGTTCCAGTGCAAGGTGAGCGAGAGGTTGAGCTCCCCTCGTGCAGATTGACGTAGTAACGGAAGACAATAATTTTGTTAGGCTGCGCAGGTATGGTTATTTTCTTCGAAATCCACAACTGAATGGGGTTCGTTCTGCTGTGGTGCTGGGAAGAGGTCATGACCGCCTACGGGATCAACACAAGCTAGACAAAATGGGCTGATGAACGCATGAGTTTTCGACCGCCAATGAACCCATCAATACTAATTTCTAGCAAGATCCGCTCAAGTGTCTTGTCGTGCTCAAGTGTCATCGTTGTCAGGCTTAGTAACTGTTGCTTCGCTGACGCTTGCGCAAACTCTTAGATACTCTCGGCGCATGGGTGTTCCAGCGAAGACAACACGCAAATTGTCGCTATAACTGTTGCAAATTGTCGCTGTAACTACTGTTCCCCGCCCCCTCTCCGATTGCCCCACGGTGTTTTGATTTATCCTTTCCGTGATAACTGGCTCGTCGTGAAGTCCAACAACGGGAATCCTTGTAGCGACAGCTCTTCGCGGAAGAATACCGGTCGCTGTGTCCATGCCGCCATAGTTGCTCTCCATTTGCATACCCTTGGTGTGGAGCCGGAGCCGGATGAGGACACTGATGGTGTGGAATATGAGCCGGACGGGGACATGGGGGTGAAGGAGGGTGACCGCGATGCCAACATGGGATTCGCGTGGAACATCCAGCGGGAGGATGAAGCCCTTTTCGGAGAACGAATGGCAATGGCGAGAAAGATCATCGCCGTGTACAAGTTTCCGATCGAGGAGCCTCAGCTTAAGGATGGAACGTATGGACGAGACAAAATCCACGTCAACGAGCGCATTTGCACAGGCTGCCGTACCCCGTACGAAGTACTCCCCGACACTGACGCAATCCTTGTCGGTCAGGTGGGTGTTCTTCGGTAATATTTTTTGCAGTTGTCGAGCAAGCCTTTCCGTATGGCCGAGCTCGTACGGCAGGACGTCGCGCCTACAATGCGGACATTTAGTTTTGGCGCGATTGTAAAACCGGTGGTCCCGGGTGGCCGACCTTGGTAGTTCGACATATCGAAAGATCGACTGTTCGTTGCCTAGATGTGCCGGACGGTTGTGCCGGACCATAAATGGAATCATGAACAAGTTGTGTTCTCGATTGCAAGGAGTAAGTTTTGACATGGTGGGAAATGAGTCCATAAGGCATGCCCACGACGACGCCCTCTTCTCTCTCCGTGACCCCTCCGAAATGTCCGCTACCAGGGAGCAGCGCTGCGAATAGTGGACGTCGAGCGTAAGAAGTGCAACACGTGCAACCTCCGAGGATGGGCTGGCGACAACTTCCTGGAGGACGGAGTGTTCAACTACAACGAGAATATTGTGGTTGAATTGCGCGTCCTCTACCAGCTTCGCTTGGCTTTCCGAGCTGGCACTCCGGTGTCAACCTGGCTTCGAACCTTCTTGCAGCCTCGGTTGGACAACATGGATTGGCTGGAGCAAAACCCGATGTTGGCGTCGCGGTGAGGTATTCTGCGTTTCATGCGTTTCTCGTACGAAAGCTGTGTACCACCCAGTTCAGAAACCGTCCCTATTTGAGAAGATCTAGGCCTTGTAGAGAAAAACAAGTTTCGTGGTACAAATTACAACCCAACCCCTTGGGAAACAATAGCTCGCAAAACACCCTAAAGAGCCGATCCCAAACGTCGTTGTCGGCGCACAAGTTGAGTTTTTGGCAGAAAGCAAACCCTTGGCACGTGTATTTGGTACGTCGCTAGCCGGAGAAATAAAAATGAACTGATTCCTATCATTGTTGGGGCGGAGGGCCGATTTTTGGTCCAAGTGGCCGCTTTCTTAACTTCGCTGTTTCGTAAAATTGACGTCTGTGGCAAAACTCTTCAATCCCACCTGAGTCTTTTGTTTTTCCCCGGAAAGAGAGCTTCATCGTTCTCTAGTAGTACTTGAATGCGTGAAAGACATCTGTTGCGCACTCCGATCGTGTGGGAGGGGCAAGAAGATTGGTCTTGAAGCACATATGTAGGGGTTCTGCGCAGTTGTTGCCTGAATGGCATTTCGCCACATGGAGCCCATGGCTTCAAAATGAAATTTCTTCAAAATGAAATTTTGACCTGAGTTGTGCGACTTTTCCTTTAACCTAATTGAAACGTGCTCCGTGAGTCCATGCGCATCACCCCATAAAGTCAAATCACGCCAATCGTGTTTCTGCGAAGAATTATACCCAGTTCTAGGCGAATCTTTGTTGCTAGAAAATGTCGCATCCGCCGACCCCCCGGCGGTAACGGGTGGAAGAACGCCGATGTTGACTTGATTTTTTTGTGTTTGGTGCGAACCCAAACTTCATCATGTGTATTGGGTACGTCGCTAGCCTGAGAAAAAGAAATGAACTGATTCCAATCATTTTTGGGGTGGAGGACCGTTTTTTGGTTCAAGTGGCCGCTTTCTTGTCCCCGCTGCTGGGGCAAATGGGCGGAATACGGCTCAAGTCTTCAATCTCACCTGATTTTTTGTTTTTTTCCCGGAAAGAAAGCTTCACCGTGCTCCAGTAGTACTATGAATGCGTGAAAAACATCCGTTGCACACTCCGATCGTCTGGGGGGGGGCAAGAATATCGGTTTTTAAACGCTTATGCGGAGGGTTTCGTCCAATTTTGCCTTGGAGGGCATTTTGCCGGCTGGACCACATGGCTTCAAAACGAGATGTCGAGCTGGGTTTTGCGACTTTTCCCTTAAAGTAAATTGAAACGTGCTCCCTGGGTTCATGCGCATTACCCCATAAAGTCAAATCACGCCAATCGTGTTTCTGCGAAGAATTATACCCAGTTCTAGGCGAATCTTTGTTGCTAGAAAATGTCGCATCCGCCGACCCCCCGGCGGTAACGGGTGGAAGAACGCCGATGTTGACTTGATTTTTTGTGTTTGGTGCGAACCCAAACTTCATCATGTGTATTGGGTACGTTGCTAGCCTGAGAAAAAGAAATGAACTGATTCCAATCACTTTTGGGGTGGAGGACCGTTTTTTGGTTCAAGTGGCCGCTTTCTTGTCCCCGCTGCTGGGGCAAATGGGCGGAATACGGCTCAAGTCTTCAATCTCACCTGATTTTTTGTTTTTTTCCCGGAAAGAAAGCTTCACCGTGCTCCAGTAGTACTATGAATGCGTGAAAAACATCCGTTGCACACTCCGATCGTCTGGGGGGGGGCAAGAATATCGGTTTTTAAACGCTTATGCGGAGGGTTTCGTCCAATTTTGCCTTGGAGGGCATTTTGCCGGCTGGACCACATGGCTTCAAAACGAGATGTCGAGCTGGGTTTTGCGACTTTTCCCTTAAATTAAATTGAAACGTGCTCCCTGGGTTCATGCACATCACCCCATAAAGTCAAATCACGCCAATCGTGTTTCTGCGAAGAATTATACCCAGTTCTAGGCGAATCTTTGTTGCTAGAAAATGTCGCATCCGCCGACCCCCCGGCGGTAACGGGTGGAAGAACGCCGATGTTGACTTGATTTTTTGTGTTTGGTGCGAACCCAAACTTCATCATGTGTATTGGGTACGTCGCTAGCCTGAGAAAAAAGAATGAGCTGATTCCAATCACTTTTGGGGTGGAGGACCGTTTTTTGGTTCAAGTGGCCGCTTTCTTGTCCCCGCTGCTGGGGCAAATGGGCGGAATACGGCTCAAGTCTTCAATCCCACCTGATTTTTGTTTTTTTCCCGGAAAGAAAGCTTCACCGTGCTCCAGTAGTACTATGAATGCGTGAAGAACATCCGTTGCACACTCCGATCGTCTGGGGGGGGGCAAGAATATCGGTTTTTAAACGCTTATGCGGAGGGTTTCGTCCAATTTTGCCTTGGAGGGCATTTTGCCGGCTGGAGCACATGGCTTCAAAACAAGATGTCGAGCTGGGTTTTGCGACTTTTCCCTTAAATTAAATTGAAACGTGCTCCCTGGGTTCATGCACATCACCCCATAAAGTCAAATCACGCCAATCGTGTTTCTGCGAAGCATATTTCCACTTCTAGGCGAAAAGTTGTTGTTACCAGAATTCACATCCGCCGACCCCCCGGCGGTAACGGGTGGAAGAACGCCGATATTGACTTGATTTTTTGTGTTTGGTGCAAACCCAAACGTCAGCATGTATATCGAGTTCGTCGGTAGCCGGAAAAAAAAAAATGAACTGATTCCAATCATTTTTGGGGCGTAGGGACGTTGTTTGGTTCAAGTGGCCGCTCTCTTAACCTCGGTGTTTGGGTAAAATTGACGTCTGTGGCAAAACTCTTAATTCCCACCTGATTTTTTTGTTTTTCTCAGGTAAACAAGTTTCCTTGTGCTCCAAGGATACATAGGGGTGCGTGAACAACATCTGATAGCAGTAGTTCCACAGCCCGAAGAGTGTACGGATTGATTTTGTCTGTTTTTAATTCCTATTTGTTTTTTTTCGCGTTTTTGGTCACGATATGGTTGAAAACGACTCGTGGGCGGTATTGGCAACCGCAAGACACACGACTGTGCGTACATCATGCCGGGATCGTCGCAGTACTGAGTCCAGCATGCCTAGTGGGGTGTGTGCGGGAGATTTACAGCAAGAAGACACGAATCGCCTTCGGTACGCTGGTGTTGACGCTTCACGTAACCGATACTTTATCAACACGCGCGACCATTCCATACTTCTACATCACATCATCCCAGCGAAACCAGCTACGTGCGTGCTGAGCGTTTCCTTTCGCGTTTGCATAGACGGCCAGGGCCGACATTTTGTCGAACTATGTGTGACAGCGAACTAAAACCTGCGCTGCTGTTTAATCGTACAGAGCCTACATCCGGTTGTTTGCGCATTGAAGCAAGCAAGCTCTTAGACAAGAGCATATGCTAACAATGACAACGCGTGCTGGGTATCATGTGCATGAACACCCCACACGAAAGTTTCCTACGAGCCTATGTCGGTGCATCAAATCCCCAACAAGCGTGCTGGTGCCTTTCCATTTGTGCGAAAGCCGCCACGGCAGGATGTCCAGGATACTGAGGACCCTCACATTTAGCCACAGAACAGAGAGAGAGATGAAAGATGCTTGTTGAAGGAAGATGTCGCGATGTGGTCGAAGAGCGTTTGTGCGAGCCAAGCCTTCTTGCATTGGACGTACTTGTCGGGTATTCGTCAAAGAGTAGCCTGCACGAGGGTGCCATCCAGCACGCACGTAGCTGGTTTCGCTGGGATGATGTGATGTAGAAGTATGGAATGGTCGCGCGTGTTGATAAAGTATCGGTTACGTGAAGCGTCAACACCAGCGTACCGAAGGCGATTCGTGTCTTCTTGCTGTAAATCTCCCGCACACACCCCACTAGGCATGCTGGACTCAGTACTGCGACGATCCCGGCATGATGTACGCACAGTCGTGTGTCTTGCGGTTGCCAATACCGCCCACGAGTCGTTTTCAACCATATCGTGACCAAAAACGCGAAAAAAAACAAATAGGAATTAAAAACAGACAAAATCAATCCGTACACTCTTCGGGCTGTGGAACTACTGCTATCAGATGTTGTTCACGCACCCCTATGTATCCTTGGAGCACAAGGAAACTTGTTTACCTGAGAAAAACAAAAAAATCAGGTGGGAATTAAGAGTTTTGCCACAGACGTCAATTTTACCCAAACACCGAGGTTAAGAGAGCGGCCACTTGAACCAAACAACGTCCCTACGCCCCAAAAATGATTGGAATCAGTTCATTTTTTTTTTTCCGGCTACCGACGAACTCGATATACATGCTGACGTTTGGGTTTGCACCAAACACAAAAAATCAAGTCAATATCGGCGTTCTTCCACCCGTTACCGCCGGGGGGTCGGCGGATGTGAATTCTGGTAACAACAACTTTTCGCCTAGAAGTGGAAATATGCTTCGCAGAAACACGATTGGCGTGATTTGACTTTATGGGGTGATGTGCATGAACCCAGGGAGCACGTTTCAATTTAATTTAAGGGAAAAGTCGCAAAACCCAGCTCGACATCTCGTTTTGAAGCCATGTGCTCCAGCCGGCAAAATGCCCTCCAAGGCAAAATTGGACGAAACCCTCCGCATAAGCGTTTAAAAACCGATATTCTTGCCCCCCCCCAGACGATCGGAGTGTGCAACGGATGTTCTTCACGCATTCATAGTACTACTGGAGCACGGTGAAGCTTTCTTTCCGGGAAAAAAAACAAAAATCAGGTGGGATTGAAGACTTGAGCCGTATTCCGCCCATTTGCCCCAGCAGCGGGGACAAGAAAGCGGCCACTTGAACCAAAAAACGGTCCTCCACCCCAAAAGTGATTGGAATCAGCTCATTCTTTTTTCTCAGGCTAGCGACGTACCCAATACACATGATGAAGTTTGGGTTCGCACCAAACACAAAAAATCAAGTCAACATCGGCGTTCTTCCACCCGTTACCGCCGGGGGGTCGGCGGATGCGACATTTTCTAGCAACAAAGATTCGCCTAGAACTCGGTATAATTCTTCGCAGAAACACGATTGGCGTGATTTGACTTTATGGGGTGATGCGCATGGACCCAGGGAGCACGTTTCAATTTAATTTAAGGGAAAAGTCGCAAAACCCAGCTCGACATCTCGTTTTGAAGCCATGTGGTCCGGTCGGCAAAATGCCCTTCAAGGCAAAATTGGACGAAACCCTCCGCATAAGCGTTTAAAAACCGATATTCTTGCCCACCCCCAGACGATCGGAGTGCGCAACGGATGTTTTTCACGCATTCATAGTACTACTGGAGCACGGTGAAGCTTTCTTTCCGGGGAAAAACAAAAAACTCAGGTGGGATTGAAGAGTTTTGCCGTATTCCGTACATTTAATCCAACAGCGGGGATAAGAAAGCGGTCTCTTGAACCAAAAAACGGCCCTCCGCCCCAAAAATGGTTGGAGTAAGCTCCGTTTTTTTCCCTGGCTAGCGACGTACCCAGTACACACGCAGACGGTTGGGGTTGCCCCAAACACAAAAAATCAAGTCAATACCGGCGTTCTTCCACCCGCTACCGACGGGGGGTCGGCGGATGCGACATTTTCTAGCAACAAAGATTCGCCTAGAACTGGGTATAATTCTTCGCAGGAACACGATTGGCGTGATTTGACTTTATGGGGTGATGCGCATGGATCCAGGGAGCACGTTTCAATTTACTTTAAGGGAAAAGTCGCAAAACCCAGCTTGTTATCCCATTTTGAAGCTATGTGCTCCATGTCGCGAAATGCCCTTCAAGCAAGAACTCGGCAAAACCCCTCACATATGTGTTTCAAGACCAGTCTTTTTGCCCCTCCCACACGATCGGAGTGCGCAACGGATGTTTTTCACGCATTCATAGTATTACTGGAGCACGATGGAGCTGTCTTTCCGGGGAAAAACAAAAGACTCAGGTGGGATTGAAGAGTTTTGCCACAGACGTCAATTTTTCGAGACGGCGAGGTTAAGAGAGCGGCCACTTGGACCAAAAATCGGCCCTCCGCCCCAAAAATGATTGGAATCAGTTCATTTCTTTTTCTCCGGCTAGCGACGTACCCGATACACATTCTCATGTCTGGGTTTGCACCAAACACAAAAACCCAAGTCACCATCGGCGTTCTTTCACCCATTACCGCCGGGGGGTCGGCGGATGCGACATTGTCGTTTTAGTGTGTTTCTTTACACGCACGAAGCGTGTTTTTTTTTTTTTCGTCTGAGCCCGTCGAGCAGGCAGTCGAACGTGGCACGAAGATGCGTGTTTTGGGCATGCAATCTGTTGCCTGCCAATGTCTGGAAGCGCCTTGTTTTTCAAGTGTGGTTCAGACGTTGACCTTGCCCGCTTTGTTCCCCTCGTGCCTCCTGTTACATGTCCACTTGCTGGTTCTCGCAGCATCGCTGACCACAATTTTATCGAGACCCTCAAGGAATGCTACTATGCATTCGAAGCCCTGACACAACACCCGTACGAGTTCAAGAGCTACGAGTGGGGACGCTTTCCGGAGATCGTGACAATCGACGGGTGCGCGAAAATCAACACGGACAACACAGACACATCCCAGTTCCAGATCGCTCGGACGGAAAGGCACGTGGACACTGATCACCAGCACCAGCTGCTGAAGATCTCGATGATATCGAAGATGGTGTTCCCCAAGCGTGTCCGCTTCGTGCTGGAGGCTGCGCCAACATTCGGATTTTCAAACCGTATTTCGAACCTCATGTTCCGTACGGCACGGGGCAAGATGGCGGATCCCGGATCTCCGCAGACCGGAGACTTGGGGGAGCTTGTGAAAGCACTTGGTGACGACGCCATCACCGACCTCTCAAGCAAGTCCTTCGCTGACCTCAAGAACATCTACACACTCTGCTTCGCCGGTCGGAAGGGTATTAGCAGGTCCGTGCCGGTGTAGGCAATGTCCATACCAATCATGCGACATGTGTGGAGGCGAACCGTTGTGCGTTTGTGGCCACTACGCTACGGTGACATGACTACTTGAATGCTACGCTCTTTGACTTCCATGCTCGCTTCCATGCTTGGATATCTCGATCTAGGTTCAGGAACAAGGATGCGCTGGTCCAGTGCTTCCAAGAGCTCTGGATTTCCAGAGATGGGGGGGGTGCGGGGGAGCGATGCTCGAAACTGTTCATTGGCAAACAACCGGGGACGACGGCAGGAGTGGAAGGCGCCTTTACTCCTGACGGAGTAATGTACGCTAACGTCTTCCAGATCGCGGCGGAGAGCGCTGCGGACGCGGTAGATGTCTCAGCGCACTTCTTGGTGAGCTGCTGGAAGTGAGAGACCGGATAGAGAAAGTACGCTGATGCGAAATCAGTAGCTTCGCGTCTGCCTCATACACCATTATTTCCTCTCCGTCACGTCCCCTTTCCCTATCCTAACCCGGACGCACCCCGGAGCTGAGTCCTCCGTGGGGCATATCCTGTGTTGCTGTATCGTTCTGTTTTTCTTAAATGTTCGGATTTCATCTACTTTTCTTACCGTGACGTTCAGCCTTTACGCTCGCGACCATTGGTCATTGAGGAGCGTTCATCCATGTCCGCTAACGTCACAGCACCCAGTAAATAATTGTGCTCGTGTACAGGGGGGTGGGTTTCTCAGGATGACCACGACGGGCTATGCCCCCCCCGTCCCCCAACCCGCCCACGACATGAGCTCGAGGGTGCGAAAGAGGTGGCGACTTGAGCGAGTCGCCGCATTCTTCATGTGTCCGACATGTCGCCTGTTTCAACGTAGGTTGTAGGTGGTGGTTTTGTAGGTGGTGGTTGACACCACTTGTCTGCTCAAACGTAGACCTTGTTGCCCCATCTCGCAGTGACTCCACAAACCCTATCGACAATAACTTCTCAACTTGACTCACCGACAGCATCGTCGCCATGATCAGCCTCACCTAGAGTATATCCGGGACCATGTTGCAGAACCGCCGGGGGAGAGGATCTTCTCCCCCTAGGACGGCGTGAAGCATGTTTGCCGGCATGCGTGGAAATGTTGGAAGTACGGAAACTCAGGTGCATGCGTTGTTCTGCAACAATGTGCCTAAACAACGTGCTATTCCTACGTTCCGTCGTCGCTGACTGCCAAGGTACCACCAAGCCTGATGATCACAGATATTCCATGCATGCTGGCGCCGATCGCGGAAAGACTACACCCCTGGCTACTGGAAAATGAAGGCCGACTGCCTCGGGATGCCGACGGCGTTGTGTCCTTGCCGGCACTGCAGCACCTCGGTGCCCATGCGCACGAGTTTCCCGATGAGCACAGCGTGAAGTTCCCAACGGAGTCGTTCCCATCTCCTCCTCCATCATCGGCAACGGACGTGGTTGTTGACAACATCTACGCGGTCTACGCCGACGCGAATTTTTCCCTTCCCGCCCAACCGCATGTCAACTTCGGCGCCCTCCTTCAACGTTCAGCGAGGAGTGCCACTGCTGAGGTTGGTGACACTTCGTCTTTATCCAAGCGCTTCTGCACCCTGGCCGAGAACCAGCTCATCTCTCTTCACCAGCAAGGGTGCTACGCCATGACTCTCTTCGAGGTTGTGGCTGTGTTCTCAGCTTGGCTTCATCGTGCAGTCAACGCGAAGGCGGACGACGGAGGGGCGATCCCAGGCCTCGTCCCACCGGATGAGGGGGGAACGAACGATACTTCTTCAGACCACGAGATGGACGACTCACATCAGAGCGCGCGATGGATGACTTGTCGCTGTCCGAGCTCTGCTCAATCTCCCAATTCTTCGAGAAAGTTCTCCGAGTAGCAGTTGGATCAATCACGAGTGACTCTGAGTGGTCTGGGCCTGGGTTTTTGGAGTTGGCGCTATTCGACGATCCAACCGAGGAAGGTGGCGGGAGACCACGCGCACTCAGAAGCTTGGACGAAGTCATCGGCGTATATCACATGGTGAGATTTGATTTTCCCGAAGTTTGTCCGCAACGTGCCCAGGTGTCGACAACTTAACAACACACCTGGACATGTGTGTCTTTCATACGTGGGTATACTGACGTGTGTTTCTTCCGAAGGGTGGTTTGCAACAAGTGATACAACAAACCCACAAAAAAAACAGGGTGAACCCGGTAACAAGCTACTGCTGTCAAACTTTGAACAGGGAATATGCGAGGCTAACCTTCCTTGTATGGAAACTCTACGTGGCACGCTGCACGTATACACAGTCCTGGCGTCTTGGACTTTGCGTTCTTTTCTGGAACGAAAAAAGGTTTGGCAGCAGTATCTTATTTCGGCAGTAACGCAACGTTTCATGAATAACAAACGATTGTCGGCTTCGTGAGGGACTGTTGCGTCACTTGTTTTTTTTTCCGTTTACGCCTGTGCTTTTTTTTACGCCATTTTTCTCCAGAGGAAGACGTCCTTCATTACCGACCGTCTGGGTGCTGACAACGCCGCCCTTCGCACACGTGCATGTGAGAATATGCCTGTGGTAGAACACCATCTACGACATGTTGTGTCTTGTGGGTCCATTGATGTATGCTCTTGTGTTGCTTGTGTTGCTTTGCTCTTTGGTACTGCTTTGATTTCAACGTCTCTTGTGTATACTTTTCCAACGACGACGTCTATCTACCCCCCCGCCCACCCCCACCCCCCCCGCTGAGGGAACCACTTCGTGCTTAGCTCGCTTCTTTTTATTTTTCATTCCGCTCCATTGAGGTATGCTAATTCACCCACATTATGAGTGGGCAAGCACTCCCCTTCAACAACTACTTTTAGCCTTTTTAGCCCGATTGGGACGATTTACAATCTCAGCGCCGCCTTCTTCGGAAAACCATAGGACACGGCACCAGTACCTAACATTTTCCTTCAGGTGTTTGAATCATACCCTTTGTCCGAGGATGTTTTCAGGTGTTGCGCGAAATGCCCCACCCCTCAGCAAACAATCTTCTTCTTCCCCTGTCTCTCTCTGTTTACATCGTGTCTTCTGTCTCTGTTTACAATATTTGTTCACAGACCGCCTTGTTCAAGCAGGGGTCGGGTTTGGCGTGGCAGAACACTCCGTCAAAGCGTTGCAGATAGCGCTTTCCAGCGACTCTCTGGGGTTCACGTTGAACGACGACGGGATGCTTCCTGGATACAACATTTCCTTCAACTTCAAACGGACCCGTTCTAAGGAGTTTGGCCACTTTTACCGCGGTCAGAGAGTAGGAATGTGGCTAGGCCCCGACGGGCCGCACGAGGGAAACCACCAGGGAGCCTGCCAAGAGAAGTATGGCGGCGGGACTCGGTGCAAGCAACTCACTGGCGTTAACCTGAACCCTCATGAGCAAAACCACTCGAAGAAGACCAAGTACCTGCCCAGCGTCAGCGGCATGGGGTTCGATACGTTCACCTTCAACATCACCTTGATCAACGAGCTTGAGAACGCATCCATCAACCGCCGCACGTGCAACCTGGCCGTCACTTCTGCAACTCACCACCCGCACGGGCGTCTACATGCCTGCTGTTCTGAAGTGTGGATTTGCGGGCGCTGCTTCTGCATCTCGCCTCTGATGAGGTCGTTCGACAAGCTTGGGAAATTGCGCATCACGTTCATCGGGTAAACCCGTAGCATAGTACTGCGAGGGGTTGCATCTTCGAGCCGTAGATTCGTGTGCGCCATTTACTGTACTGAGGTATATTGGCGGCAATTACACCTTATATATGTGCATGCGGAAATTTCTAGGTGTATCGATCGTTGCACATGCAGCAGGGCTCGCGACGTTTTGTTGGTGTTTGTTATCTTCGGCTTGGACTTGGTTGGAATCCTAGGGTGGCTCCATACGTGTAAACATAGCTCTGTGGTAGTACGAGGCACCTGCAGTGCAACGAGGCGACTGCAAAAGTGCATACTTGCTGGGCCTGACCGTCAGGACGGGCTTCGTGCGCCTCATTTTTTCAGGTGTTTCACTGTGTGCGATAGATCTCATGCGTCTACGCTTGGTTTCGATGTGTATGTGGATTTCGAGCTCTATGCATGCGTATATGCTTAATGATATTTTTTCGCAAACCGATTCTGGATTGAGGTTGGCGTTTTTGTTTCGTGTACTCCTTTGGTTTATCTCGGCCGATCCGATGTGTCGGGCGGTTAGGTTACGGCGGGTGATTCGGCGGTGGTAGTTGGTTGGGTTGGCTCCACCAGCATCTGGCTTTCTGCGCATATTCCAAAAATTATCGTACTGCTGAGACCATTTTTGCCGTGGCACTCAGGCAGTAACAACCTGATTTGAGCTGCCCCCGCCACCAGAAACGGTGGCGGGTTTCTCTACGTGCGTCCGGACGTCTCACCCGGGTTAATCTACGTACGTCAAGAGTGATGAAGACCCACCCACTCCACCCACTGCTAGGGACCCCGCGATGTGCATTTCTTTTTCGTAGGGTGCGGATTTCGACGAATTTTTGACCTCGAAGCTTGAAAATTGCCGCTGTTTCTATGCTGTACTGAAGGACAGGTTCCATACAGTGACACGACCAGTTGAAAGAGAGGTCCAATGTCATGACACAACCAGCAGCAGAAACTACCGAGTGCTACAGCTCTCATGTCATCCTACAACACGGTCCGTCTCGCCCGGTGTAGTGCTCATCATATTTTCAATTAAGTACACCCGGAGGGTGGCGCGTTCCACACCGTGCGACGTACACCCCATACCGCGGCCACTACGGTCAGGAATGTGAGGTCATTGCTCAGCACCAACATCAACAAGCGCGCGCCTCGGGTGTTGAACTTGTTCATTCCACGGGGCCCCCTGTTCTCGAACTCCGCAAGAGTAAGTAACTGATGTGTCCTCAGCTGTTCTCTCGTATTGCTGATAACTGCCGGTACAGGTATTGGAATGCCGCTGCTGGTGTTGGAATGTCTACAGTAATGTCATGGTCGAAGACAAGGAGGGTTGCGGGTTGCGGGGGGGCACGGAGAGAGCAAGCTTAGTAGGATTGGTCTCTCACGCATCCCTCTCTCCCTATCTCTCGTCGCGTCGTCTGCTTCCTCTTCTGCCTCCAATATCCCGTCAGTTCATTACCTCTGTCACGCGCACGCACGCCACGCGCATGCACGCCTCATAATAACATGTTGGAGCTAAGCGATGCACACGGTCGGTCCACAAGCCAGCCGTTGGGTATTATTCAATTTTCTATTTTCGGACATGTCAGCGTCGTCATTGGTGTTGATACATCAACACAGCAGGGTTTACCCGACTGTTGTGTACTCGTTGTGTACGGTGTGGAAGGGAAACCCGCAAGCCCCCAGCGCATGAGCTCATAAACTGCACAACTGCACGGCGTGAGGCGTGAGGCGTGAGGCGTGAACGTGAACCATGAAAAGGTTCCGGTTCAGAACCTTGTTGTGGAGGCTCTGGCCTCGGGCTATATAGACTACAACTCTGGGCTTGCATACAGGAAGTTTCCTCTGGAAAATTCCTGTCAACCATTGCTTTCGACCAAGTCGTCAGCACCCCTCCAGCTTCTCGGGTCCAAAGAAAAATCTCGGAAAATTGCCAGTTTCTGACAGACCGCTGGACAGTCCGGCAACTTACAATATGAACAAGGGGCGCACGAGAGCGAACACGCTGTGAGCGCCCCAGCGGTGGGTGTGACAGTCCTTGCGATGATGACTTTCAACCGCCAGCCGTAGGTGGGGGAAGAGGGTGCATACCATCATGTACATCCCGTTTGGAACACATCATCGTATCCTCTCCAAGGTGTGTCTGAACGAGCATTTGGGTGGAACTCCATGAAACGTCGGTTTTCGGCCTCTCGGCGAGCTTGACACGCACCGCACAGACTGCACATAAAAAAAAGCAACCGACCTCGTGCATACGATGGCGCCGCCTGGAGTAGGGGACTCGCTTGTGCGCACCATTACCGAGGAGGGGGAATTCTCTTGGGAAAAGTGCTTGGCGGCCAGCGAGCAAAAGCTGTTAGGTGTGCGACGAACGTGTAGGACGAAATCCTGTCAGCAACCCGCACTGCTGTGGCATCGAATGACTACTGCTGTAGATACCTTTAGACGTAGAAGTACGTACACAATTGTGTACAAGGTGGAGATGCCAATGTTGCTGTCTCCTGAGGTGCCAATGTTTATGTCTCCTACAGGTTTTTCTCCTCCAAAGGCAATACGGAAGGAACACACTGTTAAGATGTTAAGATATATGCACTCTACACGCACATGCAGTAGAGGAAATACTGTTGTGGCAGCTCTGAGCAGTCTCGTGGAGTACCTTGGAGTGGCAGACCACATGGAGATTTACATGTTAAGGACGTTTGCATAAGATACCACGCCCTGCACGTTTTTCAAAGCTCGATTACTCCTGTGCGCCAAAAGCAGTTACGTCCGTCCAAAGGTGTCCGAACGTAGCATTTGAGGTATCCTCTATCGAACTTTGAAATGCAACAGGATTTTGACCCCGTCTTCTTCCATCTGTAGTCTATCCTTGAAGCAGAAATCCCACACCGGTTGCACGCAACAAAAAGTCGCTGGTGTTTCGAACGACCCAAGCGCACCGCGGTTCTCCTGTCCGGTTGTCGGAATCCATCAACAGTAATAGATTGCCACCAAGACTGGTGCGGGCGGTGCGAGACATTGCAACCCACTTTCCAGAGGATATCTCTCGAGACGGTAGACAGCGAAAATCGTTGCCTGTTTCTCGAGGTGAGATTCGAATTACCCGTAAGGTTGCGTAAGTTCTGCAAGAAAAATAGATCACCGTTGTGCGTGGCAGGTTTTTCTCGCTAGTGTCAGCTTGAGTGGTACCGAGTAAGAAAATCGCCCCAACTTGTCGAGCGACACGTTATGTAGACCTTCGGCCTACTGCAGTACATCTCAACAACTTCGCGTTCATACGTCACCCTTCCGTGACGTAGCCACTCATGATGCTCTCCAACCAATATCGTGGAGTAATATATATCTACAAGATAACCCGCTCCATAATCTAACGTGCACCGTCAATAACGGCGCAGGCAAATCTCGACAAATTTGCGGACCATATTCAAGCCCATCTCCCGAAGGACAGCCCGATAAATCTCAGCACCCACGGCTGCATGCCGTTCACCGTTCTTCTAAAGGTGACCATAGACAGCCGCATTTTCCATACCAGCAGCACGAGGCTTGGTTGGTGAGAACGACAACAGCTACCATTGCGAAAATGCCCGACGTGTCATAGAGCAGGTTGAAACGCTACCACTCCCAAGCAACAATAAAGGCCTCACGGTGGAGGTGCAAGACCGGGAGTATGGGTGGCAATTTTTTAGGGAAGCAACGAGCAATCGACTCAATTCACCGCGTGCACGCACAGCCAGTTGCAGGCTCTATGGCTAACAGGGAGCCACCTGTCACTATGGTTGCTTGAAACTCGTGCCGAGCAATGGATCTCGGACTTGATCTGCAGAGGTCTAAACAAAACACAACGAGCCAGACATCATCGCGTGGCCAAAATTTGAGCACGAAATCTTCGGGAAGCATGTATGTGTTTCTACCAAGCGCTTGTGAAAATGTTTCAAAACCAAGTAACGAATCAACAGCTGTGCTGCTGACACTCCTGTGGACGCTGACGCCAAAGCGCGGATGAGCGACCCCAAGTCGAGCTCGGCGGCATCCTTCTTCCTTACACTCTCTTGTGCGCTGTCTTGTCCCCAAATCAAAACGCCAAAAACAAACAGGGAGGAGCCGCGGTGGCAACAATACGAGGATGCGATGCCCCCGCCATTCTCCGCGAGGTGACCAAGCACATGCCTCCTCAGCGCACGAGCGACGACAAAGACGCTGAGCCCGAGTGATGATGACCTGTCGGCGACACTCGAGTTGGCACGGAAAAACAGTAAACTGCTGCGTTGTTGCTGGTTCTTCGGTGTATACAAGAGGAAACGGTGGAATGGCAACATATACCGCTGTCGTACGCGGCTGCTGTTGTTTCGGAAATGAAACGCTGCAGCGTTTCATAGACGAAGGTTTACGTTGCACTTTTCAGCATGTAGCACAATATCAGTGGGAGATGTTGTCCAGGGGATACCCTACTATAGGCGAAGCGGGCGAAATGGTTACACTTCCGCGTCTCGGAAAGTGAGAGGGCCTGTCTGAAAGGCCGGAACGCGGCACAATTTTGGCTTCCAGCTTTCACACATCAACCCCTGTCGACTTGGAAGACATACGAAGCCGGGTATGTCTGGGTATGAGTCTACAATGGGATCCTATCGCCTTGCTCTTTCCGCAGAACCGATAAAGCCGCGGCCTTCTAGCAATAGCCCCAAAATCGAAATGTGCCGCCAAACACCTCCGAGGCTTTGTGCGCTGGGCCAAGCCGATGGGTAGCATCAACCAACAGCAGGCACGCAAGGGCAACAATAAGAGCTAACCAACAGGGGAATCCAAGCAGGTGTCTCGTTTGTGCTCTCTACGTCACCCGTCAGATTGAGTAGACTAGGCAAAATCTTTTTCCGTCTTTGCTTATACCGCTTTCTTGACAAAACCGTCGTCCCTAAGTATCACTCGTCCTGCATCATGACAACGACATCGCCAAAAACAAAACAACACTTGTAGCGTCACCGAGAATCTCTTAGAGGACCCGCACGGTTGCCCGAAGCAAGCTGCGATACCAATGGGTTATGCCGATCTACGAAGCTTCCATCGCACACGTCACCTGCCGATCACCTCTCTCTTTCCCCCAGTATGAATCGTACATCACTGGATTATGTTTTCCTTAACTCGTCAATTACTTTTATGTTTCTACTGCACACATGATGGGCGAGCCACGCGCACACCAAGCACACGGGAATCGAGTCGCGTTGATGTCGTCCGGTGGACCTTTGTGCGGCCACCAGGGACCACACCACCATACTTTGTGGAGAGAGAGTTTGTGCCACGAGAACGTGCGCACCAAGCCAACACCGGACACCCGACACCAATTCTGCATCTCTCTTGTGGCAAACTTGTTGTCTAGATATCGCATAGCAACGAGGATTTCGATCACATCGACATGTCCACTCGGTGCCCCCCCCCCCCTCACTGGAGGAACCTGTCTATCTCCTTGCTCTTGCTGCTGTTGAGCACGAGCTCGTTCAAGCACGTCGCCTTCTCCCACTTAACCCCCGTGGGGCTAGCGGGGCTCGGGTGGTTCACCACGACAACCTCAACCTCGCCCTTTCCTGCGGCGTTGAGCCCTGACGCCTTCACCGCCTGCACACACACAAAGCAATACGTGTCGTCAAGTCGACCACAGTTGTGGTACCGGCAGACGAAAAGAGCAAACGAGAGCGAGAGACGAACAGTCAGCCAGGCAGAGACTGTAGGTGCACAAAAAAAAAACATGGGGGCGAGGACGAGGGCTCGCGGGACGGGGCGAATAACAAATGTGTGCTTCAGTTTTGAGACCTGGCCGAAGAAACAAAGAATGAGGACGTTTCGCAGGTCAAGTTTTTGAAAGAACACTAAAGTAGAGAGCGGCATGAAAGGTGGACGAGAACCAGGTGTGTGCCACGGTCTGTATTTCGGATTGCCGTCGACGGGAGGAGGGGAGAGAGGGTGCCGTTTGGCCTTTCCACCCCGACCCTGGCGAGGGCACAACAGTTGCCGACACTATGTAGTTGTGCAGAAAAGCAAACGTCACCGTCGTACAAAAGCAAAAATTGAAAGTTCCAGCCGGATGGTACCGCCAAATACGAGAATAGTTTACACCCAAGAGTTTTTCACGGTCGTTTTTTGCGGCTTTTGAGAGCACTACCGTTCAAACTATACTAGAAGAGCCTTTTGTTTCGGTCTTACAGTAGTTGCAAGGAAAGCGTACGGACGAGTTAACCTAACCTCACGACGCTTGGCGCTGTTCAAACTACTCGAAACCACTTTTGCTTTTTCGGTCCTACAGCAGCTGCAAAGAAATTGTACGGACGACCTAACCTAACCTACCTCATGGCACTTGGACCCCGCGAAGTTGCCGACGGCGACGACCACGGACGGTTTCAGCGCCGAGATCATCTCCGCAAGGGCTTCGCCGCAAGCCTCGTCGATGACTTCTCGCTCTGCGGGCGTCAGCCTGTGGTACATAGTTTCATAAGTTTTGGTGTTTTGACAAGCCGAAGTGTTGAGTGGGGGCGACGGCATCGGAGACAGGTTTAATCGAAAAAAGCGAGTGTTTGCAATGGTGTATTTAGTGCTTCCGGTTTAGAACCATTCCGATATTCCCCACCGTCAGTGTATTGCCAGCAAAATGCAGACACTGCGTAGTTTTCACATGACCGAATACAGAAGCAAATCATCAGCTCACGGGCTCACTTGTCCGGGGTGATGTTGCCGCCCGAAGAGCTCATGAAAGTCAGAGGGCAGAAGTTGTACACGAACATTTTGTCTGCGTGTGCCCCGCCCGCCCACCCCCGAGAGAACAGAAACGAAGGCGATGTAATCACGACGACCGTTCGGGTCGGGGGAATAAACGGACGCGACAAAGCAAAAAAAGAGTAAGAGTTGCGAACGCACAGCTCTGCCAGTAGTCACAACAACAATTAATCTTCGCTGTGTCGAGAAGCTTCAACATTTCACAGCAGTCGAGAACACCAAGCACCGGCTGACACGCGTTCAAGGCATGAAACACACGATTGTATGCCGAGGCCGATGCAACCAGGAAATCGGTACGTACGGGTTGCCGCTCGAGTGTACGGTGTAGTACGACGCCCGGACCCAAGCCTGATCGGTGTAAGTTGAGCATGTAGGTGATTTCATCTACCGCTTAACGCGGAGGCATGCATTCGGCGAGAGCACACACAGTCCCGGAGCGCACCTCCCCACGCGTCCGCCGTTCCGAATCTCCGTTCGAAAAAGCCCCATAGACGGGTCCCGCTGACCTGTGTTCGACGAGGAGGGAAGCCGGACACACACACACACACACACACACACACACACACACACACACACACAGACGGGGACCCACATCATGGTCAGTGGAAGCATTCTGTGTTTTGAACCGCACTGAGACTGGCGTCTCTTCATTGGTCAGCCGGTTAGCGCGGTCGATGCTAACCAAGAAAATGTACACACACCGCCATGGCGTTTACAAGCTTGTCACTTTTATAGCCGCACGGAGACATTGATGTCTGATCATTGGTCAGTCGGTTGTAGCGCGGTCGATTCTGACAGTAAGCACACGCCCACACAAAACAATGGCACCTAAGACACTCGTTTTTAGAACGATGCGATGCGGTCGCGTATCCAAGCGGGGTTGAGACTAAGCATCGAGAGCCGACAATCGACGCACCTCGCTGCGCTGGCAGTCGAAGCCATGCACCGGTCGTTTGGTGTGTTCCTTGCTCGGCCGACCGACTGCCCCTTGTACCTTCAGCCAGTCCCGAACAAATCCGACTTCGCCGAACGGGACTCCCGTTTGCACCTGAGAACAACGGGTCGAGATGGCGTTTCGCACATCATGCGACACATGAGAGGGGGGGGGGGGCGTACTCTTATGTTTCGCATGCCTTAGCGGTTAGACCAACGCCAAAACTACATTAGTAGGAGCCTTCTCACCCGACGCTAACCCCATCCTCTTCCACTCTCTGCCGCCGTGTAAAAGAGGGCGCCTACAGCAGTAGTTTTCTCACCATACCCCATGGCCCCGGGTTCATGCCCACAACGAACGCCCTTCCGAATGGCCGCCCCCCGCCGTACCGCTGCGTGTAGGCCTCGTTTGTCTCTGAGGCGTACTCGAGGACGTTGTACGAGCATGACACCGGCTGCTTGCTGGTGCCCTTCCACTTCCGGTCTGTTTTCCGCAGGTTGAAAGGGGAGGGAGGCACGGAGGGTTGTCCGTTGGAACTACAAACGGTGGCGACATACCGTGGGTTGCATAAGATATCACACCCCCTGGACCGATTTATCAAAGCTCGAGTACTCCACAGCAGAAAACAGCGAAGGTGCCGAATCTGGCGGCGTTGGGACCGTCCCGTCGAGAGCTTTCCGAACACGTCACGTATCGTTTGATTTCGGCATCCTCTTCTTCTTCGTGGAGCAATCAAGCCTTGAAAATCGGTCCAGGGGGTGTGGTATCTTACGTATGCAACCTACGGCACACGCTATAGTTGGCATCCTACGGCACACGCTTTGGTTGGGATAGCAACGTGTATCCCAACTCGTTATTGATTGACATCCTACGGCACACGCTTTGGTTGGGATAGCAACGTGTATCCCAACTCGTTATTGATTGGCATCCTACGGCACACGCTTTGGTTGGGATAGCAACGTGCATCCCAACTCGTTTTGAGTTTGTTGAGTAGCTTTGTGCCTCGGCGGGACCGCCTACGCAGGGATTGTAAGAGTACCTAGAAAAGAATAGGGAGGGGGCACACAGACCCTATCCCTCATCCTAACCCTAACCCCAACGCACGGATTGAGCACTTTATCCCATATGTTTGCTTAATCAATTTTGCTGCGTAGACTGTTGCCTCGGCGCGGGGTCCGGTGGTGGGAAATAAAAGAGCCGGCAGCGTGGAAACCGCTGAACGGTAAAGTACAGAAATTATCCGCAGGCGTGGTAGCCTTTCCGTGGTGGAGCGTGGTAGCTCGAAAGGGTGTGATATCCCTGGAGGTGACGTGGAAGCCCGGTGCTTGTAGCCGTGGTAAAAAGGTTTAGACAAGGACGTGCAAGTCCTGGGGGCGTGATGTAGCCGGGTGGCGTGATAGCCGGGTGGCGTGGAAGCCGGGGAAAATAACTTGATCATACACAGAAGCCATAAACCACAAACAACAATTCCGTTGTAGACACCCACACCCTCAATCCTGCAATATACTGTGTGTGGCAAAGTTGGTACCACCAAACCTAATCCAGAGCAACTTCTGTTAAACGCCCTAACTCCCCGTTCCATCTTGCTTGTACACATAATAATCCGTCGATGCTGAGTACATCCAACAGAGTAACATGCAACTCACGCAGCACGCGCTACATCAACATGGTGCACAAGTTGCTGAACGATGGCGGAACCCCGCCAGGCAAGCATCGATGCAGTTGATAGGTAGGTCGCCGTGTTGGGGGTCACGAGAACGGGAAAGCGTGTTCGCTGCGGGGATGGAGACCTCTGACCCGTGAGAAAAAACAGAACTCAGTATTATTCATCCACAAAACTATGAATACCTTGCCCATACGCGCAGGAGTGGCACCGACCCGCGAGAACGACCGTGGGTGGGTGTCCAGTCCGTTCGGGGTGCGGGGATTTACTGCTGTTGTACTAAGATCACCAAACCAGTGTGAAAGTACTAGTACCGGCAGTGACAGCAAACCAAGAATGAAGAATCAACCATCCTATACAAATTGTACAGCAAAGTATGTAGTGTACCTTTGAGACTGTCATGAAGGCGGCGCGATATTCGCACCAGCTCGTCCCCACACGACACAAGGGTTGATCCACCAGCCTCCGCGCCAGCACTTCCTCCTTCAGCTTTCAATCGCCGTCCTTGTTTTGTTGCTCTGCTGCTGCAGCTGCTGTCTCCAGCCTTCCTGTCAGCAGCAGGCGCCAGCCCTGCTGCTACAGATGATCGCTTCTTCGTTTTTGGGGGCATCGTTGTCGAACGGGGGGCCAGCGGTGAGGCGGTAGCAAACGCGACACGCCGGACTATCGAGAGCTCAACAGCGGCGGTGCAGAGAGAGGAGACAGCGAGTGATCCGAGCAGCAATGTTGCATGCATGTGGTTGATAGCTGTGATGCCGCAGGACATTGGACATTGAGCGGGGGGGGACGGTGATTGGGAATAATGTAAATAGCTTGCCGGGGCGCTGAAGACGAGAGGGGAATGTGCATGGGGTGGCATATCCTTGGAGAGTTTTCAACCGTGATGCCCCTTGATTGATTTGATTTGCGAAACCCCAGAGGGCAACAACACGCTCCCGAAAAAGCCCGCGGGGATCTTGCTCGGCGTAGCCGCGACTCTGCTGCTCAGCACCGCGGAGGTATCCTTCCTTCTGGCCAGCTATCCTAGTGCCTGAAGCGCAACTACGACCCTGCCTGTTGGCTCACTGCTGCTGTGTGTTCACCGAGAGGCAGTTTGTTCTGAAATTGAATCTCCACACCCATTCCAACGGGCGGCGTCTCTTCACCGAGACGTTAATCATCAAATCGAGAGCTTCGCTGCGTGGAAGGAAGTACACGCACGTGTTAAACACTGCGTTGTCGCCTGACCAATGTCATGGGCGGAGCCTGCGGACATGGACACTCTGAGCGAGCTGCCTAGGCAGTCCATGGTGGGTAGCAGCGGCAGGCCGCCCAAGCTGTCGCGGACGACGTCGTCTGTTGGTCGGTCTGCCAAGTCGCGAGGAGGGAGCGGTGGCGCGTCGAAGTCGGAACGGAGACTGCTGATGGAGGCCAAGGCCGGCGTTGGGGCTGCCATTGCAGAGGTGTGGCCGTAGCAACGATGATCTTGTGGCATGTTTGGTGTGATGGTGTGCGTGGGTGTGACATGTCGTCTCCATCATGCGGCACTACTTCTGTCCGTGCCCATGCTAATTAGCAGCAAGATCTAGCTACAGTATTTAGGACCCATCGTCCTCATGTAACCGGTGTATGTAGGTTTGCAGTTTGCAGCTCCCACAAAACCAAGGTATAGCAGCAGTGTTGAACATCCGAGAGCAAACGGAACGCGCCGTTCGTTTTCTTCTTCTTCCGGCTGGTCGGTTGTCTATTGTTTGCCCCTGGCTTTCAACCCAGCACACACCGATCTCGAATTCCCAGGCTTGGGAGACGAACATTTCAAAGTCGCCTCCATGGTTGCCGTCTCCAACGCGCGTAGCAGCAGCTATGCATATGAGAGGACCTATGCTACTATTGTATGCGAAGAAGAGACAACCGTGCTCTTATTTCCACGTTGTAACATCGGGATCCCCACGACTGCTGTCGAAAGCCACGTCGCCCTTAGTTTTGTGTTATTGTGTCTTTGGGGTGTACCTCGGTGCTTCGGGCGGCGGAGTCACGGCGGCCCTCTGAACGACACGTTCGGCCTGCCTCCGATAGTTGAAGTCGAAGGGGGTTGCCGCGGTCGCAAGCCTCTATTGTGCCCCCCTGTGGCGGCGGTTGGTGTCCATGGTCCCTGCGGCGCGGTCGGTGCGGATGTCGACGTCCTCCTTAAGCTGATAGGTCCCTTTGCAGCTTGTGTGGACTGCAGCCCGCGAGCACGGCGACTGGCGGTGGCGCCACCGATGGCCGCCTGCTGTACCGGGGTAGCCGACTGCTGTACCGGGATGAACGGCGATTCACGCCCCCACGTACAGCAGCAGCCGGCCATCGCAGGTGCCAACGATACACGCTGCGAGCGGCCTACACACAGGGAACCATGAACACCGCCGCCGCCGTCCCGGAGGCAAGGGCCTCCGACCGCTGCAGCTCCCTTCAGTTATCGAGGGCCGAACGTGTTTCCGAGGGCCGCCGTATCACGCAATCCGAAGCCGTTGCCGCCCGCGACGATTCGAACCTCTTGCCTGGACCCCAACTGCTCACCGCCTAGTACATAGCCCAATCGCGCCCGCAACTTAGCAACAGGACGTCTTGTACACAGCGGTAGTGAAAAGCTTTGTCCAGGCGGTAAGACACCTATTTTAGGTTTCCTGCACCCTTGGCTTGTGCCTGGTCAATTACCTCAATTCTGGCCGGCCTCCGGTGGAACCGTTCAGGTAGCCCCGTGGGGGGTCTATCTCTAGCCATCTACAGCGATTTCGCCCCCACCTCTCTTGACGTTGTCGTATGAGGTTTCCGTTTTAGTCCTCTATTCATTTTCTGTATGCATCTCGCCTGTCGCCAATTCATCTCGCTTCGACCCGAAGGCTTGCCATGCGTGCGCGCATCCCCGCGGCATGGCGGGTTACACAATGAGCAGGAAGTAACACCATCGTCCATACTCCATCCATGATCTCACATTTTCTCGAACTCCGTGCGCTGCTGCTTTCCGCTACACGCGTGCGGTGGCCGCTTTGCTTGAGATACCTGTAGTGTTGTGGATATCGTTGGAAAATGTCGGCAAATGCGAGGGCTACTCCAACTACCGCGAGTGGGAGCCCAAGATGCGCATGGCCATCGGCCGTTACAAGCCGAAAATGCTTGCCGTACTCGACGGCCAACGTCGTCCCACAGGCGCTGCCAATGCTGCAGCGGCTGCTGCTTGGACAGAAACAAATAACCAGCTCTTTTCAGTTCTCTTCTTCATGACCGCCGG